TTTCTTTCAAATGTCTGAACCCTTGATGAGGGTTCAGCTCCCTTCCCCCACCTGCACCGCACCTCCCACCGTCCTCCGAGGGCAAATCAGGATGACAATTATGTCATAATCATCATGGATGTCATGTGACCAGGTACATGATATTTGATGCAGAGCCTATTTTTGCAACGTGGTGCATTTTCATTCTTAGGCATCTTTTGTTTTCTCAGAGTTAATCATTTCCTTGTTTTTTTTACTTGCAAAATTGATTACAGATAGATACATCATTCTCTGCAATTCCTCCATCATTTCATCCAGTCCAGTGTTTTCCAGACTGTTTTGACCGCAACTCATCATAAGAAATATATTTTACAACAAGACCTGGCATGCACATACACACACACACAGAATACATGAAGCTAAAATTTTTACAAATTTCCATTGATACCTTTTGATAGTTTCCACTCAATTCTGTTATTTCATGTTTTTAAATGCTGGTTGAGACTCACAAAATTGATATCAGGCCTCACTAAGGTGGCTTGACCTACCCTTTGGGGAGCTCTGCATTAGCCCAGCTCAGACCTGCTCTTCCCAGCCCCCACACCCACCCCCACCTGGCCCCCGCCCCCTCTCTCCTATATCCCAATAGCTTTCATCTGGAGGTTTTTCTCGGCTCCTCTTCTGGGATGATTAACTGTTTGATGAACCCCATGTCTTCTTTTTCATTGGTTCTTTGCTTTCCATGAGTCACTTTCAATTTATTTCTTTTTAACTGAGGAAAAGAAAATTTTAGTGACTCTCCAACCTATTTGATTTTTTTTCACCTTTTCTCCAGTAACAGAAAAATAAAAGTGGGAAGGAGAAAATTACAATAGGAAGAAGCCAGAGAGCAAATAGGAGAATTGATTTATGCATGGTTTTGGTTCTGCACGAAGCCGGCGATACCCAAATAGATGCAAGAGCACGGAATAAAACACCACAGAATCTGTTCCCTGCCCATCTCTTTCCAGAGACCTCTATTCTATTCCTTCAGCTGTGTCTGCAAGTTTCTTCTAGATTTGAGTTAGTCATAGAGCTTTCAAGCTGTGCTGGTTTCTTTCAAATGTCTGAACCCTTGATGAGGGTTCAGCTCCCTTCCCCCACCTGCACCGCACCTCCCACCGNCTTAGCTGTGCCAACCAAGTGTGTTTCCAGAAATCACTAAACTTGCCCTGGGGGCAGATTCACCCCAGGCTGGAATCTTTGCTCCGACTGGACCCCGCCTGTGCCCATGATTCCGGGGAGCATCATCGCCTACTGACGATGCATCAAGTGTAGTCTGAATTGGTCCATTGTATCCTCCAGAAGCCGTAGCAGGTGTCATGAGCAGACACCTGTCATTTACCGCCTTGGTGGAGGATGCCACGGGGACACGTGCAAACCGGCTGGTTAGACCCTGTTCCAGGCCAGCTCTCCTCTGACTCACGCTCCTGAGGACTGATCTCTGCCTCCTCTGAGTTATTAAAAAGTTATTAAAAACCAAATCATTGATGCCCCAGAACTATCTCTTCTTAACAGACTCACTAGCAAACTGTAATAAACATAATCTGGGGCTTACGAAGCTGTTATTAAAATGGACCATTTGCCATCACTTGGGGACACGTTGCTCTACTGTTTCAGCATGAACACCAGAGACGAGGTCCGTGGGAAAGGTGACCAGAGATGCCGCTGAGATGGTTAACGGGCCAACATGTGTCTCTCACCGAGTTGAAACCACAGTCACAGCTATGGGTCTCAAGTCGACCTAGAAATTCCCTCCTAAGGAGGTGGGAGCGCCTTAGAGCTGTGCTGACCATCACCGAGTTCAGAGCAGGCTCGTCCCCCCAACAAGCCAATGGGGGGAGAGCAGCCAGGCAGCCACCTCTCTTCAAGCTGGGGGCGCGAGTCTGCATGGGAACTCCAGCTGGAGGGGCCAGTCATCCACTCTAACAACTGGATTTCAGTATCACAGGCCGGTAGGAGGGCTGATCCAGAGCAGACGAGTGGGAGTGGCAGAAAAATATCAGGATGCAGGGGAGCAGGGGACAGGGGTGTTTGTTTTCTCCTCCTGAGAACAGCCTCTCAGCCAGACCCAAACAGCGATTCCACATTTCCTCTGTCAGCCTGGGGCTGGGTCATGGGCTGGAGTCCAGCTTTGGACCCCTCCTGAGTCAGGATCCTGCTCCTCCTGTCGGTAAGTTCTGACTCTTCCCCAGGTCAGGAACACCCCCGAGACCTGACTGCCCCAGGCACAGGAGGAACTCTGAGCGGGGATGATACCTGGGGATCGTCAACATGGTCATTCATTTGTCACTGTGTCTCAGCAAGTTCATTTTCAGAGAGCAACTTGATAACCCTTTCAGAATTTGGAGTGTCTCAATATTGTGTGCCCTAGAGGGAGGGATTAATGGATGAGGTGTCAGCCATGAGGTTCATTTAATTAAAATCACTTGTTCCTGCAATAATTATGGCTTAAACACTCATCCTGCAATTCCACAGCCTGGAGCGGGGATGGCGGGGGCCCGGGGCCCTGAGTTGGATGCCGATTCTGCAGGAGCGACACGTGGCGCTTCAGGTCTCCATATTCACACTTGCACAGGAGTGAGCTGTGTGCTGGGAGCGGGTTCACACACAGGTGCTGGCAGGGGGGTTGGCGGTGGGGCAGGCCGAGGCCTGAGTTTGTGTGCCTCAACTCAAAACCTCGAAACTTGAGGCTGGGAGACAAGAACGTTCCTTCTCTGCTGTGGAACAGAGCTCAAAGCCAGGCCCACAGTCTTGGTCGTTCGCCTTTCAAATCCTCCTGTGTCCGGTTTTGCAGAGAGAATTCCGTTCCTGGAGGTCGCTGGAGGATGTTCATCTGTGGCCCAAGGTCAAGTTGTCTTGTCCAATGCAGCCTCCTGGGTCCTTGTGCCCCTGGGCAATCTTCTCATCTCTCTCCACATCCTGGGCTAGGAACGGGGGAAGCACGTGATGTGTTGTTGTCCACAGACTCCAGCACACATATTTTAAAGTTAAATGTGATTCCTAGCTCCATCTTCCAAGTGTTACTTGCGTGATCAGTTTGAGTGTGGCCGATTGCCGTGAGTGGTTTTCACAGTATGGCTAGAGGATCTGGGAGCCAAGGTGTATTATGGAGGCAGTCCTCGCTGGGGAGCCCGAGACCCAGGGCAGCAGGGCCGTCACTGGGGCTGGCGAGCCTAGCCGCTACTGCCTGGCTGGCTCTCCTCTCCCTCCGGGTGGGGTGTGGAGTCCGTGGGGGGACGTCCCTCGGGGAGGGCAGCCCCAGGCCGCAGGACAGAGGATGAAGTCCTCCCCACAGCTGAGCACTGATGCCCCTCTTTTGTTCTCCAAGAGGCCCCTGCAGACAGAGGTCTGAACACTGGGCCCCAGCAGAGAGACGGAGGCCTCAGTGAAGAAAGAAAACCCCTGGAAATCTTGTCTGTGAGTCTCAGCCTTTGTTGCAGAAATGCGACCCCGACCTGAGCTAAATGCGGCTGCCCTGGGCTCGGGGGGAGCGTGGCCCCGGTCCAGTGTCTGTCCTGCACTGAACACAGCAGGTGGTGCCCAGATGACGCAGTAAGAGGCCATGGAAGAGATGCAGGGGCCCCCGACCGGCCCACCTCCTTGCATGTGGGGCAGGGCTCAGGGGGCAAAGGGCCTCCTCCGCACCCCCCACCCTGGGCGATGGGTGGCAGCGCTGGGGCGTGAGGTCCCAGCTCCGATCCCTTCCTCAGCGCCCTGTCTGCCGCCGGCATCACTCGTCAGGGGACAGGCCCGCTCTCAGCACCTTCAACCTCGGTGCACTTCACCCCGACGCAGCAGCCCAAGATTATACCCATTCTACAGATGAGGAAGTGAGGCTCCGAGGGGCCGATGACCTGCCTAAGATCCTCACTGCTCGGGGCAGGGCTGGGACTGCAGCCCAGGACCTTGTAGTCCACTGGGCCCCGCCCCCTCTACACACTCCTTAGAGGGAGCATCCAGCCTGTGACAATTAGCGTTTCCTCACATTAAAGAAGAGGAAATGTAAATTGTCAAGGGGGCGATTCTCTAATGAGATGTTCAAGGAATTTCTACCACTTTGAGCATCAGCAGAAGTGCTAATAGCTAATACTAACATCTGCCCCGCTGTGCCCGGCTCTGTTTTAAGCTTGTTTCTGGGATTCACTGTTTAAACTTTAAACAAATGTACGTGATATGACTTGATGTGACATCATTAGTCCTGTTTTACAGATGGGGAGACTTCATCAGGGAGAAAAGAAATCACCTGCCCCCACACCCTGGGTCAGGACTCTGTTTCCTGGGAAGTACGCCCAGGATGGGGATTTTGACACCTGCGAGAGGTCCCACTGTTGGACATCACTGTCCTAATTCTTCAGCCTCCTTCCCTGGATCCTTGCCCTTTGCCATGTGACTTTGTAGTTTTCTCCTCTAGAGGTGGATTCTCTTGTCTCCCTGAGGTTGGATTTGGTTATGTGATTTGCGTTGGTTGATGGGATGTGGGCAGAGGCCTGAAGGTGCCTACACAGCTGGTCCTGACCTCTTGTGCTCCTGCCTTCTCTATGAGAAGAATCTGCCTCTGGGTGAGTCCTGGAAAGATGAGAGACTCGAGAGCAGACCTGGAGTCAACCCTTCGCTTGAAGCCAAGCAAAGCCAGGCCCAGCCCAGAAGTGATGAACGACAGCAGACATGTAGAGGCGAGAATGAGAAATAAACACTTATTGTTTGCAACTGAGTTTTGGGCTGGTTTGTTGCGCAGCTTAATTGGGACAATAGCTGACAGATACAAACCCCAGTGAGCGAACACAGTGCAGCCCTCAGAGCATCCCCCCCACCTGCCCTCAGCACCAGGGAAACAGCCCCATCTTCCCCCCACCCCACGCTGCCCCCAGCACCAGGGAAACAGCCCATCTTCCCCCCACCCCACCTCTGTCCCTGAGCATCGTCGTGTCGGATGCATGCCCCTGACTGTCGTCTCAAGTTGGCTCACGTTCCGAGCGACAGGCACCAGGTTCTCGGCTCTGTTCAAAGAGCTTTATTGTCACGTACATGCAACTTATGTCCAATGTGGGCTTGGGTTTTCCTTCTTCCCCATTTGGAACTTAACTCGCCACAAGAGTGATTAAAGATTTCTAATTAAGGATGTTCATGGCAGTGTTTTTTATGCTAACCAAGACAAAGCAGAAAGAGGAAAAGAGAAGACAGTCTTATGGTCCAACAGTGGAGGAGTCACTGTACATCTATAGGGTGGAAACCTCATAGCTGTTAGCATTTATGTTTCTGAAGATGACCTTGTGGTACTGAGAAATGTACAATATACTGTGAAGTAACAATCAAGGAGGTTCTGAATGTTGCGTCTTTCCACTAAATCATAATTTTATAAACCAAGTAGACTTTTAAAATGTGTGGTAAAATATGGAGTTGAGTTTTTTCTCTATTTTGTAGGAATATCTTATAAACTTTGTTACTTTTGGATAAGAAAACAAATGAACATCATTAAAAATAAAAATATAATTAAGGCATAGAGCAGCCTTGAGCTGTGACGTGTCACTGTCTTTTCAGATGGAACACTTTTTTAGCTGCCAAAACTGTCCCTTCCTCCCCTGGGAAGCACCCAGGGAAGGGACCTTGTCTCTTTTCTGTCTTGGTGGTGCCAGGAACATAATCAGGGTTCAATAAATAATTGATAATCACCAAGACCCCAAAAGGAGCCCATTCACTATACCTGGGTGGCCTGGCAACTCCTCAAGGCATTCTCTTAAGTGCATTTCATTTCTTTTTAATTTTCCTCCAATGTAAATGGACAGGAGTGAAAGCGAGGAGAGAGCTGCCGCCTTGCTGAGAGCCTGAAAAGAGAGAAATGAACGAATAAGGGCAGACACTGCAGGGCCCTGTGTGGAGCCTGAACCCCGGGCAGTTGACAGCCCTTCTCAGGAGGGGGAGGGGCCTTTCATGCCTGTCCCCAGGCAAGGGAAGTCACCTCCTAGTTTCCTTATGAAAATGTGTATTTTTTTGCCCAGCAGTTCTCCGAGGCTCTATGATCTAAGAATCAACAAGGAAGGTGGTGATGCAGGAAACACCATTCAAAACCAACAAGAGAAGGACGGCCTATGAGATTAGAGGGAAGGACTCCTCCTCTGAGTCACTGAGTAATGGGTAGGTACTGAACACCCATCCCTGCTGGCCCTGCTCTGGGTGCTGGGATGGGGCAGGGAGCCGAGCAAAGTCCCCGCTCGCAAGGAGGTCACTGTCCAGTCTGAAGGACAAACAATAGTCATTGAACCAACTGTTGTAAGGCATGTAGGGAGGCGACAGCTGCTAGACAGGAATCAGAGCTGATGGACAGGGTCATGTAAGTGGGCAGGGACGGCCTCTCGGAGGAGGTGAGCGAGCGCTGGGAGGGGTACACCAAGCAGAAGGAAGAGCAGGTGCAAAGGGCCTGAGGCAGCAGAGACCCTGGGGGTTCCCCGAGGAGGAGCAGCAAGGAGGCTGTGCAGCTGGGGCAGCGAAGGGGGCGGCGGGGGCGGCGGAGCCCGGGCACCCAGTTACCCTGCCCTGCAGATAGGAGCGGTCCCGAGTGAGGCAGAGGAGAGGAGTCTTGCCCCGACGGTCACCGTCTCGGGGGGACAGGCTTAGTGGAGAGCGTGGTTCTCAGGGTGTCATTCCAAGGTCAATAGCATCAGCCTCCTGGGACCCTGTTAGAATTGCCCGTTCTCACCCATCACCCCAGACCCGCTCAGTCAGAACCTCTGAGCTGGGTCTAGCATCCGAGTTTTAAAAACTCAGTCAAACATAGTCAAAGCTATGGTATTTCCAGTAGTCATGTATGGATGTGAGAGTTGGATCATAAATAAGCCTGAGCACCAAAGAATCGATGGTTTTGAAGTGTGGTGTCGGAGAAGACTCTTGAGAGTCCCTTGGACTGCAAGGAGATCAAAACAGTCAGTCCTAAAAGAAATCAATCCTGAATATTTATCGCAGGGACTAATGCTGAAACTGAAACTCCAATACTTTGGCCACCAGTTGCAAAGAGCTGAGTCATTGGAAAAGACCCTGATGCTGGGAAAGATTGAAGGCAGGAGGAGAAGGGGACGACAGAGGACGAGATGGTTGGATGGCATCACTGACCCAATAAACATGAGTTTGAGCAAGCTCTGGGAGTTGGTGATGGACAGGGAGGCCTGGTGTTCTGCAGTCCATGAAGTAGCAAAGAGTTGGATGTGACTGGGAAGCCTGGAGTGCTGCAGTCCCTGGGGTTGCAAAGAGTGGGACAGTACTGAGCAACAACCACCACCACCACCACCGGTGGGTCCAGAGTCTCGCTAGAGCCTGAGAAACCCAAGTAGTGCTAGACCCCTGGTTCTAGTCTCCCCCAGCAGACCGAGGCAGTAAGGGTTGGACTGCAGAAGGGGCTGGGCATCACCAGGAAGAAGGATGGAAAACGATCCTAAGGAAAGCAGTCAGGTGGGGGCTGCATACTTGCTTGTCTTGGGATCTCCTTTTGGGGTTTCTCAAGTGGGAAGCAGTTCTCTGGGTGGGAGGCCTGGTTCTCTGGGAGGCAGGAAAGTGGATAGAGGGACAGAGGGTACAAGGGCCTGATTAGACCTTCTTAGTGACAGAACTTGGAAAACCAACAGAATTCAAGCCCCCACCCAACTGGGGCTGAGGATAGTGGCGAGGGTGGAGCCCAGGCACATCCTGTGGGGCCATGGTCATCACTGCCCCGGCCCAGCTGTGTCCCCCACTCCATCCTCTTTCCCTCAGCCTCGGCTCCCTGAGCCCTGCCTTGTTCTGGGCAGGGGGTCACAGTGGGGAAGGGCCCCCCATTCCCGTCCCCTGGGCTTGTCATGACCCAGGGTGGTGGTGACTCTGTCCCCAGGACAGAGCCAACTTTGAGGGGCCCAGGAAGGGGGTCCCTGAGGAGGCGGCATCCGAGCTGAGACCTGAGGGACAAGTAGCGATGAGCTGGGGACATCAGCGGCTCTGGGGCAGGAAATGAAGACCCAGCCACGGGAGCAGTGCTGACCAGGGGTTGGTGGTCCTGAGTCAGGGGTTCAGACGCAGGAGGGGCCGGGCGGCTCTCTGGGCAGCCCAGACAGGTCAGGGCCCAGGACACGCTTCCCAGCCCCGCCCACGATTTCCACCTCCTGGTCACAGAGGGGGCCGCAGCCTCAGGCACCGCCCCCCCGCCCCGGGGGACCCTCTCACCAAGAGGGTTTCCTGCTTGGTGGATACCTGCCATGACCCTGCAGGAGTGACAACCGCATCTCCCTTCTGTGCCCCAGACACAGCTCGCAGCATCTCTGGACTCGCACTGTCTCATTGACGATGAATGAGGTCCAAGGGCCCAGTTCTCAGAGACTGGGGACCCGAGGGACAGAGCGTTTCTATGTCCCGTGCAGGTTCACGTGGGCAGAGCTGGCTTTGTCGTGCTCACCCATGATGCTCACACTCGGACCGCAGTCCCCTTGAGCCAACTTGCAGGAAACGAAGGCACTTCCCACCTTCACCTGCATCCAGGGTGACCTCATCTCCTACTTCACACAAAGCCTTTATTACATTAGGGTCGCTTAGTGGATGCACTGCTTTGCTCCATCGTCCCTACATTGATCAGATCTGTGTGTGTCTCAGGGTCTAGCAGGATTCTCAACACATAGCAGGAACTCCTCATTATTTGCCTCATTTAATGGAATCTCATTATACTTCTCTGCACACTTCATCACACCTGGTAGTGTTTTGCACAGGGTAGTTGTTCAAAAAAATACTTGTCAAGTGGTTAAATGTTTGATCCATCAATAGGTCTTCAACTGAGCATCCTTCCAAGTGAATATTCTAAAGTGATGATAAAAGCACTTTTACAACCATATGTTGATTACTCCAATTAAATGCTTTTCTGAGCACTGGAGAACAGGATGATTCAGTTCTTCTGCTTTTAAGCTCAGGTCTTTTCATTTTTGATATATGCAGGTTGGAAAACTTGTAAAATTTATGCCACGGAGGCTGTAAAACTGTGATGCTGGTGGCCAATTTGAAAAATTCGTATGGAAATTTACATTCATTAGAAATGATGGCAAGTTGTGGAATGAGATTCTGCAGAGTCAATTTAAGGAAATTTGTTTCTGGGAGATAACCGAGGAGCGGCAAGCTGAGCGGCCAACTTGGCTGTGACACCCGAGAGACAGGCTCGCCATGATGAATGGTGCTGAGCTCATCGAGTGCTGAGTTCCTGGCCCGGAGGGGCCGCGTATTTTCTGACAATTGGCAGCTCTATCTGTTAGTTCCCCATGTGTTGTGGGACAAGGAGGAAACCTGTCTTCAGCCCTCAGAGAGTTAGACAGTAGTCCTCCTGATTTCCAGCACGATCCTGCTTCTAAGACACCCTTTGGGGTTCATCAGGGTGCGCTCCTTGGGTATTCAGTTGGGGCCCCCGCCCCCAAGAGTGCTGCGAGGTCCAGAGGGGAAGGCAACTGAGAGGCAGGGAGAAGAGAAGCTGGAGATTCTTTCATGCTGGGAGGTTCTCCAAAGGTTCTCCAAAGAGTACCTTTGCAGCTACGATCCTTTTGAAGTTATTACATTGACGTGAGTGCTATTAATAGGGGGATCAAAAGACTTTCGAGACAGCATTCTGAAACATGCCCTGGGGGCGGGAGTGGTCAGGCTGGGAGCCTCTCTATGAAGGAGTCGAAGGTCAGCAGTTCTGTGCGGACAGGGCCTCACTCACCCGCCTCCCCGATGGTACAGATCTCATCCACGGCCGCACTGAGGCTCCAGGGGTAGAATCAGCTCCTGGCTCTGAGACTGGCAAGGGGAAAATGCTGGAAGAATCTGCCCCCAGCGCCTGAAGGAAAAGGAAGGTTTAGGGCCAGGAGAGTTGCAGGCGCGTTCCCCACTGGGGCTGCACGGAGACTGTGCAAGGCGGAGCCTACGGTGACTTTCAGAGCCCAGGCTCTCCAGTGCTTAGTCCCTGGAGCTGAGATTTCTTTGCAAGAGGTCACCTCTCCTGCTGGGAGTGCAAATACATCACTTCACCCTCCAGGCAGGGAGTGAGAGGATTAATAGCTGCAGTTGTGGCTGCAAATCACTTCACAGAGCCGACGGAGGCACAGAGAAGTGCCTTGGAAGTGGACTGAACGTCAGGCTGAGAAAGTCTGTCCTCCGTCCTCGGGCCCCTGTGCCGGGGTCGTCAGTCAGCTTAGGCCAGCCTTTGTCGTGGTCTCATCCTGCACCCGGCGCAGGCCGTGTTCTCACACCATCCTCAGGTTCACCGGCAGCTGTGAGGCTGAGCTGCGTTGGAGCTGGAAAAGCCCTTAGTTACAGAGCTTAGTGATTCTCTTTGTAGAGGGAAGTTTGAACTCAGAGACAGAGTGACTTTAGGGACAGAGACCCCAAAACTCTCAGAGGTAGTTTATTCCTCGTCCATGCCGCTATTTACTTGTGTTGTGGTTTAGTCGCTAAGTCGACTCTTTTGTGATCCCCTGGACTGTAGCCCACCAGGCTCCTCTGTCCACGGAATTGCCCAGGCAAGAATACTGGAGTGGGTTTGCAATTCCCTTCTCCAGGGGGTCTTCCCAACCCAGTAATGGGACCCACGTCTCTTGCATTGGTAGGCGGATTTTACCCCTGAGCTGCCGGTATTTATTTCCAGAACAAAAACTGTGGGAGGGCAGGATGCATTCTCACAGAGCAGTCAGAGCCACGCCAGGGCACTCGGGCGGCTCGGGTGAATCCCTCTGGAGTCAGGGCGCTGAGTACCAGCACATGAGCTGGAGGAGAAATCAATACCCATCACCTCCAGGACTTGAGTGACTAATGTGTTTTTGAATAGGCCTCGGGTTTAGCTGACTTCTGGGCCCCTCCCTGCTCCTCTCCACCCTACAATCATCTCTTCATAATCCAATCAAGACAGGAGAAGATGGAGCGAGAGGCAGCAGGAGATTTTCCCTCTGACTGTAGCCCTGACTTGAGGAAATATCCACTAGCTGAGGCATTTGCCCAAATGCCCCCAACTCTTCAATCACTTTCAGTTTTGACGGGATTTCGTTGATATTGGTACGTGATCACAACCCGCTTAGGCTTCTGCTCCTTGAGTGGGAGTTGGGGTAGGGGTACTTCAAATACTAGTAAAGACAGTCACTTCCTTATTTTCATTCTTGAAGATTATGAATCATTTGGAACTCTTTGGGGACAATGCATTTTGTAGAAGCACTATCTGACCAGGTGCAAATGGAACATTTACACTGAAATTCAAATGGCTCTCATTCTTGACTTTGACATAAAATCTGGTCGTATTTCCCCCATGGACTGCATGCCTATAAGGAATGTCAGTTTTCAGAGAATAGAACCCCAGTTAAAGGCAAGGTAGCTATCCATGTTCATTCACATGGGCAGCCATAACAAAGTGCCGCAGCCTAGGGGGCTTAAATGGCAGAAATTTATAGTCTCACATTTCTGGAGGCTGGAAGTTCAAGAACAAGGTGTCAGCAGGGCTGTTTCTTTGAAGGCCTCCTATCTGGCTTGTAGACTGCCTGTGTCTTTATTTACACTGTCTTCCCTTTGTGTGTGTCTTGTCCTCTTACAAGGACACAAGTCACTTTGGGTTGAATGTACAAAGTGGAAGTCACTCAGTCCTGTCCGACTCTGTGACCCCATGGACGATACAGTCCGTGGAATTCTCCAGGTCAGAATACTGGACTGGGTAGCTGTTCCCTTCTTCACTGGATCTTCCACGCCCAGGGATCAAACTGGGGCCTCCTGCATTGCAGGCAGATTCTTTACCAGCTGAGCTACCAGGGAAGCCCATGTTGGGTTAGGACCCACCCACATGACCTCGTTGAACATGAGTTATAAAGACACTGTCTTTAAATACAGCCCTATTCTGAGGTATTGGATCTTCCCTAGAGGCTCAGATGGTAAAAAATCCGCCTGCAATGCAGGAGACCTGGGTTCGATCCCTGGGTGGGGATCCCCTGGAGGAGGGCATGGCCACCCACTCCAGTATTCTTGCCTGGAGAACCCCATGGACAGAGGAGCCTGGTGGGCTACAGTCCATGGAGTCGCAAAGAGTTGGACACAACTGAGTGACTAAGCATGCATGCATTTTGAGGTACTAGAGGTTAGGATTTCAACATATGATCTTTTGAAGGAGTTGAGGGGACACAATACAGCCCATAATAGCAAATTTTTTTCACAAAAGCAACACTTTCCTTCTTGTTCAGCCATCCCAGCCTACACCCAGATCTGTCATCTCCTGATTCTTAGGGTCATTAATCTCCTGTCTGCAAGAATCTACCGAGGACTTGTTCTCAGGTTCAAGGAATAATGGATGGTACTAAGACCTTAAGAACCAGATACTGATTCTGATTCACAGCACATTGGATCTACCTGGGGAGAGAAAAAAATATTTAATTGAACCCCACCCCCCCACCCCAACTCTTTAACTCCCTCTGCCATTGCCAGGATAAACCTACAAGAGAATGACTGTTNCCCCAACTCTTTAACTCCCTCTGCCATTGCCAGGATAAACCTACAAGAGAATGACTGTTCCTGGGGAGGAACAGACATTCTTTTGCTCAACAGCGTGTGTCGTTTCTAGTTGCTTAAGGAAGATGCTGAATTTTGCCTGTTTACTAGATCCAGACTCCCACATGGGAGTTTTGCCCACATGAATTGAAATTTGACCACTACTGTTCTAGTGACTCAGCACTAAAAAAGCCATCAATTTCATATTTAAAATCAGCCGCAAAATGTAAAAAGAGACAATTCAGCAGAGTGGGAAGGTAAGCGGTAAGCTCACTTTGCAACCATAAAAGCATTTTTGGAATAAAAATCATACTTGGAAAGCTAAAAACTGGAGGAAATTCTGCCAAGTTTGTTGTTAAAAAAAAGCCTCATTATGTATCTTGACACTCTTTAGGAATATTTTATCAAGTGCTCCATTCCCAGCAATGTTATTCTGGGGCTCCATTTGATACCAGCTGACATGCCTCTCTAGTATTTTACTGACTTTGAAAATCGCAGCACCCAAACTGCAGCCACTAAGGAAAGAAGACAGCAGGTCTGTGAGTGGGGCCCGATTAGCGGATTCATTCCTCCACCCACCTCATTCTTGTCTTAGATGATGGGTGGGAAGGTTGCATGAGTTATTTATATACTTTGGAAGAAAAGGAAAATAAAGTGCAGTGGTTCCCAGGTTAGCTAACTCTTCCTCTACGTCCTCCTCCTGGTCATCCATGTAGACACAGGTCAGTGGATACTGGTCTGGCTGATTGAGATGGCTTGTGAACTTTGTTGATAAGCTTTTGATAAAAGACTTACAGTCCAAGAGACTCTGTGGTCCCTTCCACAGAAGGCAAGAGCAAGCCTCCCCCTGGTGAGCCCATCTCAAGATGCTTCTGGGAAGGCTGATGTCTAGTCATGCTGTGACGAACACGGTAGAATTTAATGTCCACTGATAGCAG